TGGGGGTGTCAGAGGCAATGAGACTGACACAGGATAGAGCAGGGTTTAGGGCTGTTGTGCATAGGGTCGCTATGAGTCGCAAACAACTCGACGGCACATAACAACAACAACAACACAACATTCATTAATTTAAATAGCAACAGGCATTAATTAGTCATTAATCTTATTCCAATCTTTATTATCTGTATAGTTTTCTTGAGATTTTAGAAACATCAAAATTTTAAGTTTGTTCTGAAAAATATACAATATTGAACTTCTATTTCGGCAGCTCAATTAAGCACTGGCTAGGAAAAAAAAAACATGTACGTTGATTTTAGTTTGCCGTATAATAGACATAAAAATTTGTGTAAAAACAGATCTTCTACAACTTATTTACAGTAATACTAAGTAAACCAAGTATTTACAGTGTAAAATTAGTCTTACCTCTGAAGGAAGTGTCAGAGTATTGGATATAAACAGTATTAACAAAATCAGCTGAACTGCATTTCTGCTAAATATTTTTAAGCCAAAGGAGAACGAGGTGTATTTTATTTTTATGATTTCTTACCCAGGACAAATCCATGGATTGAATGCTGGTTCTTGGAGCAATGAAACCGGGTAAGTAAGCACTTTCACAGTAATGTTTCCTGTACAACTTGAAAAACTTCCAGGTCAAATTGAGAAACAAATCCAAATTAACTCTTATTTTGAAACTTTTCTGTAATTAATCTCTTCTACTGTTAGGAGTATGTAAGTTAATTGCTATGTAATGATGTTAAGTTTCTTGTACTTTTCCAAAGATATGAAATTCTGAATTTGCATCTGCTTGAATTATTTTTAACTGTTGATACATCATAATAAAACTGCATATATTTACAATAGCACAGAATTTGATACACTCTTTTCTAATTCCCAAATAGGTAAAATGTTCTAATTTTCTTTCACTTATTAAAAAATTAGGAAGGCAGTACTGAAACAATTATTTGTAAAACAAAGTCCAACATTTGTAGCTACTAAACAGTGTATTAAACAGTCACAAGACGAAAAACTAATGCAAAAATAAATAGAATATATTTGCAACATAAAAATATGACACAGGAACATTTATTTTTGGCACCACCTATAAAATATCCAGTAGTACTTACTACTTTTGATGTCTTTGGGAATACTCAACATTTAATCTTAACGATTAAATTATTTCCTTTCTTCCAGAGGAAAAAATCATTCACAAATTTGAATTGGTAGCAAAACTTCTTTTTTTTGTAATTACTTAATGATTTACAGAATGGATGGGTTCAAAAGTTTAACTAGTAGCCAGTATGTTAATTATGATTTAGTAATTTAATCCTATTGTGATTTGATTATTCCAAATAGCGTCTTTATAAGGCATGATATAGTTTCTTCTTAAATCACTATATACCAATTGCATAGCTTTAATTTGAAAACAGAAGTCATACAAGAGTTAAAAAAAAGTTATTATTAACTGAATTGAAAGAGATTCTCAAAAAACATTCTAGTTAGGTATATGTTAGTGTAAACATAGAAAAAGACAGTCAATAGCAAAAAAGTTTTAAAAAATAGGTTAATGCTAAGAATAATAGTTTTTAAAGTTTTCATTTAAAATGAGATTAAAAGTTTTCATTAAAAACTTAGCTCTTTGAAATGCCCTATTTTCTTACATACAGCAGAAAATACATTTTTCATAGTTTTCAACATTACATGTAGAAATGAGGCACTGAAGTTAGACAGTTTTCAGATAATCACACAAATAGGAATTTCAGTCCCATCTGTGGGTCTTTATTTGCTTGATGTGTTCTCAATCTCAAACTGTTCACAAAAATAAGTCTTCTGAAGGTGGTGCGTAAGAGAAGCCGAGGAACGCATCATCTGCTTCCAGGACGCTGGCATTCACTATAGAATAGTCAGAAGACACACACACAGAGTATGGAACTGTTTCTTCTGTAAACACAGCATCAAAATTCCGAATATCATCAGGTCCAGCCTAAAACATCAAAATCACACCTTTATTCCACAGCTACAGATTGGACTGTGTCCCCTCAAAATATGTTTCAATCTCACTGGGCTACAATTTTCAGGATTATAAAATTATCCTCCATTTCACAGCCTGATATAATTATCTATGTGTTATAAATCCTAACACCTATGACGTTAAAAAGCAGGGTTAATAAAATTCTAAGTCATTGCTATTAAGTCAGAATCAATTCATAGCTGATTCTCCAGTGGCTGTTCAGAGGCTGTATATCATACAGGAGGAGAATGCTCATCTTTCTCCTATGGAGCAGTTAGTTAGTGGATTTGAACAACCAACTGTCTAGCCACTAGACCACGAAAGCTCCCTAAAAAAGAAAGTCAATTACATTAATGAGGCCGTGTATCAACTACAGCATTAAGTTTTATCTTGAAGAGTCAATCTCTTTTGAGACCTAAAAGAAATGGAACAAACTGAGCAAGAGACCAGGGAGACCTAAGTACCACCAAGAAAGAAGAGCCAGGAGTGTAGCGGGTTGGTGGAAGGTGCCTTATCGAGAGTGTCCTAGATCCATGGGAACAATGATGCCAAGAAACACGTGGATCTGCAAGAAACACCAGGCTTCCCCAATGTTAAAAAAAAAAACAAACCAAAAACACAAACAACAAGGGCTTTACTCTAGAGCCAACACACCAGGAAAGCTTTCACCTAGAGCTGGTGCTCTAAGTGTGGACTTTTAGTCTTCTTCACTGTGAGAAAATGAATGTGTGTTAACACTACCCACTTGTGATATTTTTTGTGATACGTTATATTTGCACCACAACTCAAACTCTTACTCGTATCAGTCAAGTAAAGTCAAATGAACCCATAGCTGACCCTCCAGCAGGTTGGTTTTTTTTTTTTATTTTTATTAAATTTTATTAGTTTCAATGAACACTCACAGAGATTCTGGGCTTTCACTCCTTCACTACCGCACCATTCTCTCTACCCTCCTCCCCAGTTTGTTCTTCTTCCCCGCCATCCGAATGTCTGTTTTAATTGTCCAGTTGCCACAGTGCTTGTCAAAGTCAGTTCTGATTAATCTCCTTTGTTGGTGTGTCCTTTGCCATTCCCTATCACTCCTCCCTGAGAGAGACTTCACCCTGATTCATAAGGAAAAGGGGATGGTGTATTCTCTTAGCTACTTCCTGCTGAAAAGGGACGCTGTCCTCCAGCAGGTTTTGAGGCTGTAAAATGAACAGGAGGAGATTGCTCATCTTTGTTCTGAAGAGCTGCTGATAATATGAACTGCAAGAGAAGCACTGCCTTGGCAGAACTACCAACAGACTAGGCAATCAAAAAACTAAGAATTGGACACCAGAAGTGAGATGCCTCCAGAAATTTCTCAGCAGAGCTGGGCCTATTGAACCAAAGAGTGAGAGAGCTGATTAAACAACTTTGAACCGAGTTTTACTTGCTTAGTGGGATGCTTCTGGATACTTACTGGCACAACTAACTGTTGTCTAAACATGTAAAAAGCCAGGTAAGCCCTAATAGCCCAAGGAGCTGGGGTAGGGTGGACAGGAGGCAGGTCTCAAGGAATCAGAAAGCAGAAGGTTAAGAAGCACAGGAAGCAGAATGCTTTGGTCTTAAAAGGTAGAACTATGGTCTCTGGGGTTGCAAAGAGTCAAATTTTTGGCAATTCTTTCCCATATATCGAGTGTGGAACTGTAATTCAGAGTGTGGGGGACGGGTCAGATTTGCCGCCTGATGCTAAGGCGTTAGGGCTACTAGGCCTAAAGGAAAAGAAAGAGATGTGTTGGGGTTATGGGCGTTTGGTTGTTATTCAACTGAATTAAGAGAATGAGGCCACAGAAAGCAGACTGTAGAATTCCAGTTCCAGTTGGTCTGGAAGGTACAGCAGAAACCCAGGGCTCTCAGAATCCAGTAAGTAGCATGGCCAACACCTGGAATCTGGAAGCCAGGGCTGATGTCTAGATGGTCTCAAGGACTCACTCACTCACTGCTGTTGACTCAAAAATTATTCATAACTGACTCCAGTAGGCTTTCAGAAGCTGCAACTTATAAAGCAGAAGATTGCCCAATTTTTTCCCAAGGAGCTGTTATAGATTCAAACAGTATACCTTCAGGCTTGCAGTGCAACTCCATACCCACTAGGGCACCAGAGCTCCTGCTCTCAAAGAATAGAGGCGTTCTCTCAAGTCTTAAGAATGAATATTAATGGTTTTGCTGGATTTGGGGGCTTGCCTACCCGCAGTTTAAAGACTAAAGCGTGCCTGATTCAGCCATGGTCTTCTCAATCACCTGTTCGGATTCCCAGAGCTGGAAAATGAATAAGAATGGTAAAAGAACTGATGCTTTTGGAGCTGTGGTGCTGGAGATGAGTACTGAATATCCCATGGACTGTCAAAAGAACAGTTATATTTTGGAGAAAATGCAGCCAGAATGCTCTTTAGAGGCAAAGACGACAAAACTTCACCTTTCATACTTTGGACATGTAGTTAGGTGAGGCTTATTCCTTCAACAGGGACATCATTGTTGGAAAGATGGAGTGTCAGTGTAGGAGAGGAAGACTCCCAGAGAGATTGGATTGGCACTGTGGCTTCAGCAATGGGTTCTATTAGTGTGTCACAGATGAGGATGGCACAGGATAGGGCAGAGTTCAGGTAAGACAGGGTCATTAAGCTTTGTACTCGACAGCACCTACCAAGGAGGACAATAACAAGCCCACTGCCATTGAATTGATGTCTGTGGTCTCAAAGGTTTATATTAAAAATGTTTTTCCTAGCCAATAAGTAACTGTTTATTTTGTGTTGTAGTTAATAAGGAGAGAAGATTAGGGTAGGGTACAAGCCCCACCAAAGTAGAGGCTTATATAAGCTCCTGGGGCATCAATGCTAGCTCTCTTTTTAGAACGCCCCTTTCCAGCTAAATTGCTACTGATACTCTAAAATGCTGAGTAGTCTTTGCAAAACTAGCTGCATGCCTAAGGTCATGGGTTGCATAGGAGAATCATCATTCTCTTGATGGACTTGCATCTCTGGTAGACCTTCCAGTGAACCACCAAACTCATAGGACAAAGAGGAGTGAGGGAACTGAATGAATTAACACTTGTTAATGTTGGAAATCATGGAGTTATACACATAGGACAATGTTGAGTGTATTTCTTATAACTAGTCTTCTAATAATCATTTGTTGTTGAAGTTGTTATGTGCCACCAAGATGCTTGAGACTCATAGCGACCCTATGTAAAAGAGTCCTAAACACTGCTCTATCCTGTGCCAACCTCGCCATCTCTGACACACTCATTCCCACCACCCTAATCACAGAGTCAATCCATCTTATCAAGGGTCTTCCTCTCCTGTGCTGTCCTTCCACTCTCCCAAACATGGTGTCCCTCTCCAAGGACCAGTCCTTCTTTGCAACATGCCCAAAGTATGTCAGACGAAGCTTCAGAATTCTTGACTCCAAGGAGGAGTCCGGCTTCACCCTCTCCAGGGCAAACCTGTTTGTTCTCCTAGCAGTCCATTGTATATTCAACACTCTTCTCCAGCACCACAGCTCAAAGGCATCAATTCTCTTTCTATCATCTCTAGTCACTGTCCAACTCTCCGATGCATACCACATAACTGTGAAGACTATAGCCCAGATCAGGTGCTCCTTAGTCTCTAGCTTGATGTCGTTGCTCTTCAATACTCTGAGAGGTCCCTGACAGGTGACTTTCCCAATGCACTTCATCTCTTGATTTCCTGGCTGCTGGTACCAAGAGTGTTGAGTGTGGAACCAAGCAAACTAAAACTGTTAACTATCTCAATCTCTTCACCATCCATATTGATGCTGCCTATAGACCCAGTGGTGAGAATCTTTGACTTCTTGATGTTGAGCTTCAATCCATATTGAAGGCTGCAATCCTTGACCTTCTACAGCAAGCACTTCAGGTCCTCCTCAATTTCAGCAAGCTGGGTTGTGTCATCTGTATAACGCAGGTTGTTGATGACTCTTTCACCAATCCTGATGCCACATTCCTCCTTGTACAGCCCATCATCTCGGATGATCTGTTCTGCATACAGACTGAAAAGGTAAGGAGACCAAACACATCCCTGATGGACCCCCTTCTTGATTTTGAACCATGTAGTGTCTCCTTGTTCTGTTCTGACAACTGCCTCTTGGTCCAAGTATAGGTTTCACATAAGCACAATCTAGGGTTCCCATTCTTCTCAGAGTCAGCTTGTTGTGATCCACACAGTCAAAAGCCTTTGCATAGTCAATGAAGCACAGACACTCCTCTGGTATTCTCTGCTTTCTGCCGAGATCCATCTAACATTAGCTATAATATCCCTAGTACCATACGACCTCTTCTAAATCCAGCCTGCACATCTGGCAGTTCTCTGCTGACATACTGCTCCAATTGTTTTTGTATAATTTTCAACAGAATCTTGCATGTGTGCACTATTAATGATATTGTTTGATAATTTCTGCACTCTATTGGGTCACCTTTCTTTGGAATGGGAACAAATATTGATCTTTTCCAGTCAGTTGGCTGGCTGGTTGCCCTCCAGATTTATTGGCACAACTTAGTGAGCACATCCAGGGCAGCATCTGTTTCTTGAAAGATGTCAATTGGTATGCCGTCAACTCCTGGAGCCTTGTTTTCTGCCAATTCCTTCCGAGCAACTTGGACTACCTCCTTCATCACTGCAGGCGCTTGCTCATGGTATTTCATGAAATTCTTCTATGTCAGCCAATTCCTTCTGATACAGTAACTCTGTGTACTCCTTTCACCTTCTTTTAATGCTTCCTGGATCATTTAACATTCTACCCAAAGTATCCTGAACTATTGTCACCCGTGGCTTTAATTTTTCAACTCCTTCAGCTTAAGAAACGCTGAGCGAGTTCAGCCCTTTTGATTTTCTGACTCCAGCTTTCTACATGTTTCATTATAATATCTTGCTTTGTCGTCCTGAGATGCCTTTTGAAATTTTCTGTTCAGCTCTTTAATATCTTGAATTCTT